GTCTATGGTCATGAATGGAACTTTTCCTTTGAAGCCCATTGACGGAGCCACCATTGCTCGGGGATTCAGCGATAGGCTATGGGAGCTGATGAAGTGGGGTTGGAGAAGCCAGCCCAGGAAAAGGCCGAGTGCATCGCAGTTTCTTGCTGAGCTGTGTGCCATTCAAGCTGGGTCTCAGGAGAGCTTTGTGCCTTGATGAGGTTGTCGACTGGACGAAGATCTGTCGCTCAAAGTTTCCGTACTCTGTAAGCTGCGTGTTTCGTGGTTGGGTTTACCTGTACTCGTACTCTAGTCGCTGAGCTCGGATCGCTTTCAATCCCTTTGTGTCTTGCATTCTTCAAAGTCCAGTTCCTTTTTACTGCCCGAGCGTGGGGTTGAAGAATATAGGTACGACGAATCAGCTAGTAATCGTACCTCTGGGTGCCACGAAGACTTCGGGCTTCAGACGTCGTAGTTTCCACAGAAGACCCTTGATAACCCATGCCAGCGGTCGAGTGTGAATCGCTCGTACCTACAAATTCTCAATCGACGATGATCTACGCGAAAAGAACCCCGACCCACGATAGTTTTTCATAGGTAATAGTTATAGCGGCGAAAAAAACGCGAGACCCACCCAAATGGCCGTCACTCGGCGTTCGAGCGACGTGGACGTCGAGCAAAACTGGTGGAGACTGCCGTGCAATCATTGTGCCCCCAATGTACTCCTTTATCTCGTTAATATTATTCAGCAAGTATCAGCAACCTTTTGAAAAAACTTGCATGATTCCCGACCTTGAGGAGCCCTTGCTTCCCTGATGACCCGTCGTCGTGAGCGACCATGCGGTCAAGGAAAACGCGCAGATCCGTCGAATTGGCCATATTAGAGCGGGCGTGTGAGGTCGCGATCTTGCTTCGACAGGGTGATCGAATATGTCGTCCGTTTCGTACGCACCGGGCTTGGAGCCTTGTAGCAGGCCCGCCAGTGAGCACGACGACCATGGATGTAGAGACGAGTGTATAGAACGAAGCGAGGGTGAGGAGGCGGAGCGTATGTAGCGAGTCGAACAGCGGTACGAACAGGACCCGAGCTGCATGATTGGCATCTCCCAGCGGGAAATGTGGCCCGACTTAGGTGTCTATGCACCGCCGACCGCGTAGCCGGCAAGCTGTGAAATCTGCCATCGTTTTTATATTACAACGCCAGAGCCACCGCATGTGGGCATGACTGTGACCGATTGAAAAGGCATGGGTGAGATGTGAGATGCAAGATTCGTTCAATAATTGGACTTGAGATGGCTACTCGAAGGAACTGTATGCTTGAGGGCGTTTCTTGGATGATTGGATTGGGGATCTGGATGAGATATTGCGCCCCGCATTACGGACGATATGTGAAATATCACCGGAGCAGATAATGCCATAATAACCCACCTCTTTCTTCTCATCGACCACCCCTATGCTCTGCGTGCTGCAAGCTCGAGAAACTGCCTCGCTTTTAAATGATGCGTAGATCTCACTCTCCGTCGCTCGTGTCATGATTGATATTTTATGGTCGTGCTGCCTTTCAGTTCGTTCTCTTCAAGTTGGAGGAAGAGATGTCAGCAGCGGCGCGTGTGACAGAACGTAATCCCAAGTCACTCAGCTGAATTCGCGGAGAACCGAAATCCCGAGGACCAGTTTTATTCAGTTTGATATGAAGAGTGTTCCGTACAAGTCCCACCCACACGCAACTCTCTCGCAACTTTCTCGCACATCAAAAGGGTTCTCAGTCAAGACGTACGAGATCAAACATAATACGCAATTGTGAGGGAATCAACAAACATTATCGCGATGATCTAGATAATAAGAATTCGCTGAATACCTATACAAGCCCCTGCCCGCCCATCCGTATCGTATCCCACACCGCGCGACCGAACCAGGAAGCCATCGATATCGTGCCTCCTAACCCCAACCCGACGCGTGCCCCGAGTGCTTGTCGGCCGGCTTTGTATCGATAGACTATGGCGAAGAGCGGCAGGAGCACGAGGAAAACAAAGGATGCGTGCGATCTGAGGTAGTGGGGGAAGTAGGTGGCAACTTGAAGGAGCCTGCGAGGGGGTGCGGGTGTAGACGCGGGGGTGGTAGTTGAAAGGGAGGTAATTGTAGAGATATTTGAGGAGGGAGAGGGAGGGGGTAGAGTAATATTATTAGGGGTAGCCTTCGCGTGTGAAAGAGGGGCTGGGGTGTCTGAGGCGGTGCTCCCCGATTTGGCAGCGGCTCGTCGGGCAAGTGGTACGGCAGTATGTGTTGAAGCGGACGATATAGAGGAAGAAGGAGATGAAGGTCGGCGTACGTGGGCGTTGAGAATGGGTGTGGATGTGCGCGAAGGGGAGGTCGAAGAAGCCGTGGGCGTGTGTAGAGGTGATTGTATCGGCGAGCGAAGGGAGGTGGGCGGCTGCGCGCGGAGCGTTTGGAGAGCCTTTGTTACCGACTGCCAGAAATAAATGATAAAAGTAGTCGATGAGCACTTGCTTCCATTCGAGTGAATGCACAATCCTCACCTCCTTTTTCTCACTTCCAAGCTCGGCATCATATGTAATAAAATCAAGCGCATAGTCCCACGCCTTCAGGCGAGGAAGTATGTGGAGACAATACACATCTACCACGCGCTCATACTCATCCCTATCGGTCTGGACATCGGGCCGAAGAGCGAGCCAGTCCTCAACCATGTCACGCGCAATCTGAGGAGACTCAAGCTTTAGAGCGGCATATGCAAGGACTACGAGTATTTGTGCGGGAAGGTGGGACGCGTCTGGTTTCCGCGAAGAGGATGGAGACGAACTTGGCGTAAAGAGTGCGAGAGAGCGGATATACAGGGTACTAAGGAGAGCTTCGGCAGAAAGATTCAGGATTGCAGCGAGACTCGAGGGAAGCTGGGTAGAGGGAAGAGTGGGAGAAGAGTAGAGGGAGGTCTCGAACGTTATGCGGAGGATGTCCCACTGGCGACGGTGGGAGGCGAGCGCGTCGGGCAGCGAGGAGACGGGCGGAGTCAGGAGAAGAAAAGCGTTTGTGATGAGAGCATGAGTGGAGGCCACGTCGCGCTGGAGAAAGGCGCGCGCGGCGCGAGGGTACAAGGCGCGCAGCATGGACACGGACGACACATGAGCGGGCGCCATCGTCGTTGTCGTCGACGTCGGCGACAGCAGCAGTGAGAGGTGATGGACGTCGGGATTCGGGAGTGCGAGTAGACGGTTGGTGCGTATTTGGCGCTGTTTTGGTGGGAATCACATGACACCCCTGATGTAGCAGAGATGATGCGATTACATAATGCACGAACACACCGCGCGCTGTTCCACCACGTCCCCGTCCCCGTCGTCCACGATCCCCAGGCCGTGGCCGCATCGCTGCCCACGGTGGCCACACTGCTCCCCCGCCCGCCGCCGACGATGTCGCTCCTCACGCCCACCGAGGCCCACGCCTTCCAGTCGTTCCTCTCTCATCTCGACCGCATCGACCCCTTTAGCCCAGAGCACAAGCAGGAATGGGGCATATACAGCCCCCAGCTCGCGGACGCTGCCATCAAGACGGCCGAAGGCAAGGAGGAGCTCGCGAGGGCCACCAAGTCGCTCATGGCGCTTGACACGGCGCTCGATTATCAATCTCGGCCCGCTTTTCCTCGGACTCCTGTCTCCTCTTCCTCCTCCACTTACGCTTCCGCCTCCGCATCGGCGTCAAATCAATCCTCTTCCTCATCGGTGCCAATTCACACCCCCTCTTCCCGCAAGCGCGCATCCCCTCCGCATGCCCAGCAGCCGCCCAAAAAGCGTCGTCCCTCCTCGCCTGCTGCTGTCCCCCCAAAGCCTACTCTCCTGTCACCATCCCAGAAGAAAGCCAATCACATTCAGTCGGAGCAAAAACGGCGAGCCACGATCCGCCGGGGCTACGACGCGCTCTGCGTATGTGTCCCTGCGCTCCGCGAAGCTATCCGCGCAGAAGAGGACGCCATGGTCGAAATAGGCACCGTCGGTCGCTCGTCCTCGAGGCGGAGAGCAAAGAACCGGGTTTTAACAAACGAGGATGGAGAGAAGCTAGATGGAAGAGCCGGGCCAAGAAGCGAGAGCGTCGTTCTTCAGAAGAGTGCGTCATCAACCCCAACCAAAGTCTTCCTCAAATTAATCATTGTATTATAGCGATCGACCATATACAAACGACGCTGGCACATCGCGAGGCCCTCCTCGAGCGACTGCAGCGCGCTCGGGAATCCCTTCCTCCAAACCACCCAGCTATCTTAGCACTGGCGCAGCACCCTCGGCCTTGGGACCGTCGGTGGGACGGCGGCACAGGCTTGCCGCCAGACGAGGATGAAGACGAGGACGACGGAGATGCCGAGGGTGACTACGGCGATGCTGGCAGTGATGAGGATAGCGGGTAGTGCCTCGACGCCCTTGTGCATATGTATTTTCTCGCTCGGCCTTCATCTTTCACTCTGAATGCTGAATGGCTCCGATGTACACGCCCTCTCTTTCTTCCTCTTTCTCCCTCTGGGATTTGTAGGCATTCTGGCGATAACACACGGAAATGTAGTTATCTCTTTGTGATCTTTCACCGAGAGCTTCTTGTGCTGGCCACGACTAACCATCGCGTATGCACTGGGTGCTGGTAAAGATTTTTGCTTGAAAAACCGCAAAGCAAATATGATTATTCAAAGCGGCAGGGATTCAAAGGCGACCAAACGGCTTTATACCCAACACCCGCTCAATGATTCGAGGTCAACATATAACAAGTGCGAGCCGATTATCGCTGGGGCGCTCTGGGGAGCTCGCGCCAGCCTGAGGTAGTTGGTGAAAGTTGACAGTCGCAAGCGCTCACTTATAAGCCCCTAGCTTGTTCATCGAGCGACCGCGATGCGCATCCTGATGCAGATGCCTTTCGGGGGCAAAGGGCGGCTTTTGTGTCTCCAGAAGAAGAATAAAAAACCATGCTCAATTTGGGCTAAAAGGATCGCGGATGCCCCTGGGAGCTCCCCCTCCCCAGCAAAAATACCATGTCTCCGGGGTGATTCGAACACCCGGCCCCGCAGTTATGTACCACAATGCGATGCTTTAACCAACTAAGCGACGGAGACGATTGGACAACGCCTTCAAGATGCAAACTATAGATTGATGATCATCAAGGTTCCAACTACAGTCATGGACGGGGATTCGGGTCAGGATACCCATTCGGGTCAGCCGGGAACATGCCTGTGATTCTTCCAAAATCACGCATCATAATATTGATATAAATTTAGATGACCTATTGCCTTGCTCCTTGGTCACTACCTCCAATTTTCCTTGCATTTTCAAGTGGGAAGATGAGTGAGATAGAGGGTCGTCAATGCCGACAACTCTGAAGATATACACGAAATGCGGGCCTCAATTTTGCGACACCAATTGATTTTCCTATCGCAATTCTACAAAGGCCACAATGGCAATACTAACGGCCCCTTGGAATATTTCGGACAGGGTTTCATAGGTTCCTCGTTGTGTTCGGTGCCCTGGGGCTCGTCGAGTTCTTCGATTTTGCTTGAGTGTTGCGCGCGTTGATCGCGGCTCGTGTGGCAGGACAGTGTGGCCAGAGCTGGCTATGCATTTTACACCCTGTGACTCGCACACCACATCTCGGATTGACCTGTGGGGGCTTACCCTCAACACGTATGCCTCCATTTCTAGTCTTCGATTTTTTTCCCCATGAGTTTTATCCTTGTCATGACATTAACATTGTCGCATCTTACACGGGCACAAAAATAATGTCGACGTGAGACGACTAATGGAAGGCAGTGGCTGTGCATCTGGGTGTCTCGTCAAAACCTGGCCCGGCAGCATGATACATCTGCATATGCAACATTCGCACTCGACAGAGGATTAATCTGTCTTGTAATCTCTTTGGAAATTTGTCTAATGTTAAGAGAAGGGGTCCCAGAATATACGTACGTGGTATTCGCTCGATTTTTTTGCTGGGTGAATGGTGCGTGATGGGGCCAAAATTGGATACACCTTGATTCAAGCGTAAGCGTGATGATTTTTGGCACATTTCATTCCCGATCTCCATCACTTTTGAAGCTATCGAAACCAGAGTTTCAGGCAAGGGTTATGGCATCTAGGCGAGCCTACACAAGAAATTTGAGTGGTATTTACTCAGTGGAAGGCTGAGAATTTGTGGCTGACCCGAATGGGTATCTTGACTCAAAACCGGCTCAAACCGAGCCCATACTTTGAGCGGCTCGCTTTCATTCAAGATACGTTTGATTTACTTCAAATTTTGTGCGGGGCATTAGCCAATGGCTGAGCTGAGATTGGCCATGTTTGTCAAATAAAAAGTCGCGAAGAGAGCTCGCAGTTCTTGTACGAGCAATTGGTGTCGTTTTGTGACCCGAATCCCCGTCCATGACTGTAGTGGTTTGCTCAGTTTTTATTCAACTCACATTTAACTAGCTACACAAAGTCTCTTATGAAGCGCTGGGCCGCCTAACGGAGCGGTACGGACGCTCTAGAGTCTGGCTTTCGATGAAAACAAGCCAAGCGCATTCTATAAGCTCTCAAGCACCAACAGCCTGTACTTTCGGCAAGTCCAGCTCTCCCTCAGCTTTCTTGGCTTTCTCCAGCCTTTCCAGCTCCTCCTGCATCATCTTATTCTGCAAAGCTACCCTCGCAGGAACGATCCTCCTCCTCTCAGCCGTAATCTTGAAATCGAGTTTCTCGACGCCAAGCGCGCGGAGAGTCTTTTTCTCCACAAGCGAATACTCCTTGGGGTCGTCTCTCGCAAAATTGAACGGCTCGCGCAAAGACACCGGGGGATTGGTAATCAGCCTCGGCACTCGAGTGTAGTTGATCGAGGCCGAATGGAGCATGAGCGGGTGCATCAGGACGACGTCTCCTGTTTTGCCCGTGAGCTCGGCGAACTCGGAACACTCGTGGATCTTCTTGAGGTGGTCGAATACGTCTGTGGAGTCGAATTGGGGTGTGAAGGACAGGCCGGTGGGGAGGACGCCTTCGGGATGGGATGCGAGGTACTTGGCTACGAGGTTGATTCCGTCCGGAGAGATGTATGTCGCTCCGCCCCGATGAGCGATGTCCGAGAAGAGGGGGACTACAAGAAGGGCTTGTTCCGGGGAGTCGAGGAAATGGACCTGGAGCGGCGGGGTTTTTGCTTGTGGTCAAGGATCGTATATGCTTGGGGAATGAGGCTTACGAAAAAGTCGCCGTCGACGTGCCAGTTGTTGAAATTCTTGGGATCGATAATCTTGTCTTCGCCCTTCCCGTCTTCGTTCTCCTCCGTGCCGAGATTGACGATTAGGCTGTTTCCCCAGTTGGAGCTCTTGGGATCAACGCGGTCCTCGCCCCCGAGGAGCTCGCACATCGCGCCCCAAGCCTTATCAAGATGATCTTAGTGGCGTCGTCACTATCAGAAGATCGCATGCAGAGGTGCTTGCCTTTGGTGCGAACGTCTGCGTTGGCTCGCTGTAATGGTGCGGCATGTGGACTCTCTCTTTTGCCCATGTGTTCTTGTCGTCTTTGTCGTATCCGAGGCGCAGCCTGTGAGTAGCATTGAGCCTTAAAACAGTACACCGCGTGCAACTGGTAAGTTTGAAGGTACCAACCAGACATCGTGGGTAAACTCCCTTGCTTTCTCGGGCGTAAAAGCAGCGGGGATCAAGATCCAGCCGTGCTCGAGAAAATGCTCAACCTGCTCAGCTAGTGACCGCCAAGCGTGGATTATCGGCGTCAATATTGCTTTGGGCGTCTATGGAGGTAAAAGCGTACTGACGGCTAAGATACTTGTACTCTTTGACCATGCTGGGGGCTCTGTGCCTCACGGTGACTGTGATATCGATTTATTTATAGGAGAAGGCCCGATCTCATGAAATAATCACAGGTGACACTGAAAAGGGATGTGAAGGTTTAGTGGGATATATTCTTCCGATGAATGTCCGATTCGGCAGCTTACTATAATCAAGATTTGAGAGCACGTCGTATCGATAATCAACAGCCGGCTTCTTCGATACGTAAACGCGCTTTAAACAGTTCGGTCGTTCATCCAGGCGCCATGATTGACCTACCCAGGCGGGCTAAGTGTTCAGTGTGACAAAGTAGTGTGCATAGTTCATAAGCTCGTCAGCTTGGCGTTGAGTCGATCAAGGGAAGGCCACTGTGACAGTCACGCATTTTCCACTTAGCGTGATAAATATCGCGTGGCAAATCGCGCAACTCGCCACCACCCACCTTCCATCTCCCTTGCTCGTCGTCGAGGCCAGCGCGCGCAAAAGGTTATGGAGGCTGTTGGATTCGAGGAAGCCTCGCAGCTTATTCAAGCGTTTGTGGACCGCATCCGCCTCACGCACGGTCACGCATATGCACAGGGGCATTCGGAGCGCGCTTGGGCAGCGCTGGAGACGGAGGCAAAGCTCGTCCGGATCGCGGTCGATATCGTCAATCGATGTGCCGCACAGGTTGTGACCTCGATAAACCGTCGTCGAAACGAGCTGACACCTGTATATCGCCTCCCAGACGAGGTCCTCTCTCTCGTCTTCGAGCACGTGGACGTTTCGACGGAGTGGCAGAATCCAACCGAGGCTGCCCCTCTCGCTCTCCTACGCGTTACAAGCGCGTGGAGACAAGTTGCTCTCAGCACTCCCAAGTTGTGGACTTACATTGATGCACGACGCATGCCCGTTCCCGCTATCCACACCTGGATTGAACGGTCGAAGCGCGCGCCTCTCGACATAGTATATAACAACCTCACCGGCCGGATGGCTGAGGGCCTGCCCGCCTTGGACGGCCTCAAGCTTGTCTCTACTCATGTTGGTCGCTGTTGCTCCCTTGACCTGCGGAATGCAGCTGGCATCAACCTCATCCTAGCTTCTCCTGCGCATTTGCTCGAGAAGCTGTCACTGGCCTACAGTGAGGAATACGGAACACATTTAGACGACCCATTTTCTGGGGTTGCTCCCCACCTCCACGAGCTCGTACTGAAGGGCGTATTCGTTCCGCTCGACCATTCCATTTATTCTGGCCTTTCCAGACTACATCTCAACTACACCCCTGAAATCCTTCAGACGGATGAACTCCTTCGGGCTGTCGAGGCGTCGCCCCAGCTAGAGACTCTCATCTTCGAAAACGTGCAATTTTCTCACCCCCCGCAAGCCCACCACTCCATCATCGAGCTTTTGCACCTTTCCACATTACGCTTTCACGAAGTGGCATCGTGGGGCATTCAATCCATCCTCACTCACATCAGGACACCTCCTTCGTCTTATCTAGAAGTATATCCCACTATGTTAACCCACCCTCCATTCAATACCCTAGGTTCCATATTTCCACGATCGACGGGAGTCGAGTACGATATCCAGAATCTTGTTCTCACCCAAAGCCTCCGCGTTTATTCCCATTCACTTGGTCGCTACTGTTGGATAGATGGGAGCGTCGGCTTCACTCGCCTGTTCTCTCTCGAAGCTAATACGGACGAGCGAGGGGGCCTGGTGGCAACCTTACTCCCGGGATTAGGCGCGGCTTTTCCCTTGCCCTTCCTCAGAATACTCTTCGTCGCATCTCTAGGCGCAGAAGACGCTACACCGTTTAGCGCCGCCCTCGATAACCTTCCAACTGTAGAGGAGCTCACGTTAGAGGAGTGCCACGAGACGATCGTAGCGGTGCTTTCAAGCCCCCAGCGCATCCCGCGCCTTCGGGAGCTCTCCATCGTGAACTCTACCCTAAATGAGTCCATCTTACTCCGGCTCGTACAATCCAGGACAGGGCGCGACGGTCGTAGAAATGACACGGGTCCTCATTCGCCAGGCGACGAGACGTCCCTGCAGTGTCTTCGCCTCTCGGAGTGCCCCAGTATCACTCAATTTTTGGTTTCAACACTAAGGAAACATTTACGAGAGGTATGTTTGGATGGAGGCTACGGAGAGGAGGATGCTTGGAGTAGTAGTAGTACCAGTTAGACTGTGAACGTGAAGGCTAGTAAGTATGCGGCCTACATATGAAAGTTCGAATAAGTCCCAGCAGATACGAAATCAGAGGGAATATCGTGTAATTTTTGCATGATTTTTCACAATCTCGTCGCTTTACTATTAGTAAAACCACC